GAGTGCTGGCTGATCATTCTCCCGTGCATTCTGCCACAACAACATAAGTGTTTCTTACTACTCTTATCCCTTAAATAAGCAGAGCATTACAGTAGCAGGGGATTCCTCTCTACATAACACGGGCCATGATGCCTGCAGTCCAGCCATGACTGGCTTAAGCACAGCTTTCTATAGAATAAGAAGAATTTAAAGGTTTGCCTATGGTCCTCTACTTATAACCTTTTAAGTCTGTTGTCTATAAGCCTCATTTTATACCTGTACTTTGTGGTAATAGTGGCCTGTCAACATTAAACATGTCCAAACCTTTTATGAATTTATGAGTTTATTTGAGCCTCACTGATGACAGTTGCCAGGAAGCAAAATCTCAACATATTGAGAAAATGTTCTGGAAAATGAGGTGTTTACCACTTATTTTATACATCAGAATCAAAGCGGGGAACCTAAAGACATTACATGAAATTCATTGGTGATAGATAAAATATAAAAGGAATAGACACATACTTATTTTAAATAGGTGGGTTTAGGATAGCTAACAATTAACAGGATAACAGTAATAATGAGGAGTTCTGTGGTCTCCTGCTCTGGTGGGAGATTGTGCCCTGAGGGGTCTGGAAAAAGGAAATTACCCTGACTTTCCAAAGGTATGTTATTGTTACAGAATTTACCAGCTGACCAAGAAACCCGCAGGAGTATTGGAGGCACAGGAAAAACCCATTTATTTTCAGATGTTTCACATGTACTGGTACAGGATTCAGGGGAGACTGTTTCTCTCCAAATCCTGAGCAAACCAATATGGAGGAAACTTTCCCTTTATGCCCTTTGGTTTCTTTGTCCCCCAAATATGGATTATACTTCCAGATCTTTTGCGGGCTTTATAAAACGCCCCATGTGTTGGGGTGGGGGCCGTGAGACCATATCTAAAGTCCTGGCTTGACACCAGTGCTGATAATTCCTTCTGGGGGTTGTGTATTGCTCATGGTTTATGGCCTCTGTAAAACGGGAGTATTTAGGTAAACCAGTCTTGCAGAACCAGATAATTAAAGAAGGGGCAGTGACTAGACTATAGGCTAACAAGAATGTGCATTAGGTTACTGGCACAGATTCAGATTGCTAGCCCCCCCAAAATGTCTCATTTTCCCCATAATTATCATAGATGCAAAAAGACAATAGACAGGCTTAGTAAAGGTAAAGATGGACCTTTGTCAGGAAAGATACACCCTAGGCCAGGGGTGGGCAAACTTTTTGACTCGAGGGCCACAATGGGTTCTTAAACTGGACCGGAGGGCCGGAACAAAAGCATGGATGGAGTGTTTGTGTGAACTAATATAAATTCAAAGTAAACATCATTACATAAAAGGGTACGGTCTTTTTTTTTTTTTAGTTTTATTCATTTCAAACGGGCCGGATCCGGCCCGCGGGCCGTAGTTTGCCCTCTGCTGCCCTAGGACGTGACTATAGCCATGACTCACTTTTAGCTACAAAGTTTTAATTTCAGACCATCCTATGTGGTACTTTAGGTCTCTGAGTTTGTAAGGCCACCATGTAGGTCTCCCCTCAGCTTTTCAGGTTTAGTCTGTGGCCCCTTTTTTGTCCACAGGCCTATGTCAAAGTTTCTTTTTAGAACACCATCATTACAAGTCCCCTATGGACCAGGTAATTTCTAGCACTGACTACCTAAGCCTCATCCACGTTCTTCTTAATTAAAAAATGCCATTGTTTTGTTCATTAAAAAATTGAAAAAATTTTTTAAGTCCTTGCTTTGCGCTGTTCTCTAAATTGAATGCAGAAAGAAAACAGCACTGGTGTGGGAAGTAGAAAAAAATAGTATTTAGTAGGGCTGGGTGAGTAAGAGGAAAGTCTAAATTGTATTTACAAGAGTAACTTGACGGGCATAAAACTATTAATAAGAGCAACAATTCCCCTTCAGTCCTTTCTAGCATTCTTGTAATGTCACAGAAAGACCCATGAAAAAATACTTGAAGAAAGATGCTTTGACTCAGATATTATCTCAGGGCAGGGCATGTCATGTTTGGAACATGTCTCTTGCAAATGTAACACGGCGTCCTCTCAGGTGATGCAAGATGCAGCTTCAAATAGATTTGAGATTTTACAGTGCATAAAACAGTACATTGCTGATTTCCCAATGAAAAGATACTGATTTCAGGTGACACGAAAAAAGTTCTGCCAGCAGGCGGTAGGTGGAAGCTGTGGTAGAGTGCCCACTAGACTGGAGTGTAGCTGTTACCGACTATTGGTGGAGGGGCACTGCCGAGTCACCTTGAGACATTGAGCCAACTTTCTGAAGGACCTGGAAAGAAATTTCCTCTGGATCCTGAAGCCCAAGTAAGTGATGAGACTGTGAATGATGTTTAGGGACAAGGTTATATATCACCTCCTTTAGCATGACCTTAGGGGTTCTTTTAGCTCCAATTCTATAATGACTTGTCAATCTTTTCATCACAGAATAGTGATAAATGGAGATTTAGAAAGCTAACAGGCAGTGAGGTACTGAAAAAGAGAGAATCAGCTTTCAAAACCTATTTTTGGAATGCTGATATTTAAAAACTAATCCTGTCTCCTCTGGGTCCCTGAAATTGTGCCACTCCCTCAATCTCTTTCTTTGAAAGTACTCAAAGAAAACTTATAGTGATGTCAATGTTTCAAACCTGATAGACACTATGGTAGGTGTCCCCAGTTACCAAGAATCCTCTTCTGAAATATAAATGTTACAGTTATTAAATATAAATACCCCCTAAAAGCTTATTATTGTTTTCTCAAAATTATATTTTAAAAAGAAACGCTGTTTAGAAACAGATTTATTGAGGTATAATGTACACCAAATAAATAGCATACATTTAAAGTAAATAATTTATGTGTGTGTGTGTGTGTGTGTGTGTGTGTGAGAGAGAGAGAGAGAGAGAGAGAGAGAGAAATGATCACTGTAGTCAATATAATAAACATACCCAGCACTCCCAAAAGTCCTCAGTGGATAGAGCGTTGGTCCTCATGCACATTTGTAATTGCTCCCTCCTGCCCCTTCTTCCACCTCTAGGCAACCACTGATATGTTTTCATGAAGATTATTTGCATTTTTCATAATTATATATAAATGAAATTATACAGTATGAACCAGGTTTTTGGTCTGACTTTTTAAAACTCAAAATAATCCTTTTTCTTGTATGTGTGGTGTACAGAGTTTCAGCATCAAACCTCTACACTATCTCTCAATTTAGATTTTGTGGGGGTGTGGCAGAGAGGGGTGAAGTAGAAAGATATAAGTGTAAGTGTGGGACTTTGTATATGCAAGGAAATCAAATTAATATTTGGACTTTTCACTGCTAGATCTGGGATAGGACTTGCTGGGGGCAGGGGGGGCGTGGCAGAGATTGAGACTTGGGAAACTGGTTGGGGAGGAGAAAATGGTTTGGACTAATACTGCTGCTAAAGGAACCAATCCTAGAGTTCAGGATAGAGAACAACTTATGGCCCTTTTCTTTTTCCTTTCTCACATTCCTCCATCAGAGCCCCTCAGATTACACCTTAAATCTTAGGTTTGCTCAGAAACATAGAGCAGGGATGGGGAGAAAAATCATTGCCCTGGAGAGTGGTGGGTAGGCCATTTCCACATAAAGGGTCAAACATTATCAGGCTGGACCTATTTCTAAGGCACTTATGAGAATTTACCTATGATTACAGCTACTGTTAAATAAGCTATATTTCAAAATTCTCAAAGGTGTGGTGCTTGATAAAGAAGAATCCTTCAGCAAACCAGTAGTAATTACAAATCATCACTTCTTTTTTAAAAATTTATTATCAGATAATTTCAACATCTGATTCATCTCAGTGTTGCTCTTTCTTTGCTATTCTCATTCATGTAGTGATGCCCATGATTCTTGGTGTATTGGATTATTTTTCTGTTGTATCCTGGAAATTTTATCTATTTTGTCAGGAGACCTGGAGCCATTTAAGTTTTGTATTTTAACAGTTCATCACTCTGCACACAAGTAGGTAAACTGGTTCTAGCTTACTTTTATGTGCTCTAATGATAAGAACTTTTCAAAAACTTTGAAAATGTTATTTTGGTGTGCTTGCCTTTTCACTTGCTACTGGGGTTCCTGCTGGTCTCTGCTGGAGACAGAAAAATATTGCCTATGCGTGCTGCCTGCTACTTCTAAGTGAGGGGAGGGAGCCTGTGGCCTATGAATACTGAGAGGCATTCCTTAGTCAGACTTGCAGTGTCGGAATCCTTCTTGCTGGTGCTACCTAGTGTTCGTAGGTTGGAAGATATTCTCTAACCCATGGTAGGACAATACATACCAGAGCAGGTCACTTGTTGGATGGGATCCCTCTTGCCAGTTCCACCAGTTTCTCTGTGTCATGGAGGGGAACCTAAGGCCTGGTGGGGAAGGAGAACATTTTCCAAACTGGGAATTTTTTTATTGCCAGATTCTTCATTTCCTGGGGGCATAAGGGGATGGAAAGCACTTTCTGAGCACAGCACTTGTTGTGGTGAGATTTTTCTTCCTGGTCTTCCAAAGGAATAATGCCTGAAAATTCTCAGCTCTGTAGTGTTTCTGAATGAAAGAATTTTAAGCCAT